GCTACACCGTATTCACAATATAGGAGGCGATGTTCAAGATAATGATGTACATCTGTAATGTGTATCATATTCATGCAGAATCTTACATCAGAATGGCTTTTTAAAATTGTTTTTCCTTTCAATGATATTGCAAACGTTTTAGTCGTCGGGATATCCCCAAAATTCTTCACAATCAGCCTTAATTTATTTTTTTCTCATTACAAAAAAGTGATGAGGGGATTATTAAATAGCCCCCCCTCAAAGCGGAGGGGGGAATATATTCCCCGATCCCCCGGGATTTACGCCCATGCCTATATATACTCCTGATTTATATAATAAGTTACCGGGTTTAAACAATTCGATATTAAATAATCCGGCTACTTTTCCTTCAAAAAGTGTACAGAGAATCCATTCACTTCTTCTGACATGTGTATAAACACATTTCCCATCACCAATCCTATTCCTATCTTGTGAGACAGAGAGACGGAGTGATGGATCATTATCAACGACAGCGTCCTGACCTGTTTGTTAACGTTCTTAATAATGGACAACTTAAAGCGCCCCCAGGGAAAGAGATCGTACAAAATGTTCCATCCTGACAACCTCCCTCATCCCCTGGAAAGTAAGACCACCTGTAAAATTACTAAACCAGTCTTTTCTTTATGGCTGGAAGCACGGCAGCTCAGACCCCATGTCGAAAAGTTCCGAATCTGGCCCTGAGGCAAATGGCCTTTTAGATGGGCAATGATCGGTGTGTATAGTGCATCATTAATTAATAAGCAAGCCCGCACAGGTATTCTACTCAGAACAGTCTGCCTTTTGTGACATGAAAATATATGCCATACTTTATCACACTAAAGCACGGTACATTTTGCGGCAAAAATCTAATGTTCTAAATTAGCAATACTATGTACTTCTTTAAAGGCCACACAACTATCCCTTCCACACATTGACTGCAGCGAGCACATTGTCTTTAAATGTCGAAAACATTATTTGCAAAGGACTATTGTGATGTCCACAAACCCATTTTTTTCTACTGGTCAAGTTAAAATCATTTAAGAGAATATGTTCCAACAACCACCAAGTCATAAGGTGTACAAATTCTTTCAGTGGGTCTCGATCTTTTCACTTTCCTCATCATCTGAGATGTCGTAACTGACGCCATGTTTGATAATCAAAGGATCTTCGATCTTACGGAATCGCAGCATTCTCACAAGGTACTTCACTGGAATCATGCTGGATGGAAAAAGAAATCGAACTGCCAATGAAACATTGTCAACTGGTTTACAATTTCTGTGTAAGAAACATGCAAAACTGTTGACAAATAGCTGTTCCTCGGTCGCGCTTGCTCGGGTAAGAGCGATTGTGTTGTATTTGACGCCCACGTGACTTCGCGCATACCCAGGCCTGGCCCAAGTAACGGAACTGCTGAGCCGGTTTGTACTTGGTAAAAATTCCTCCTGGAGTCTCGACCAGGAAGAGTAAAAGCGCCTTTTCATATGTACTTTTTTTCGGTGCATTACGTATACGACGCGTTCAGGCGTTACACTTTCACTGAAGCTAAAATTCGACTGATAAACATAACACATGTGTGCGTTGCGTTCGGCTCACTGATCTCTGTAATGAATAATTTTATTATAGAGATAAGTGGTTCGGCTGTCAAAATCGCCCCGGGGGAGTTGAGTACATGTATTGGAAAACGGCCCTGCCACTGGGCGCGAGCTACCCACAGATTAGTCTGGTTCCTTGAACAAACTGCCCTTCTGAATTGTGGACTTGTGGCCGGGAATCAGTCTACTCGAGAACATTCAGGCGGTACGGAAATAGAGGGCGCTGTTTTGAAAATTTTAAGAAAAAAAGGAAACAAATATTTACGCGCACGTTCAAAATCGACGCGCGCGCTGATCAGAGGCCGACAATGCAGTGCGAAAGCATGGCGGCTTAGTTGAATGATTCGAAGGAAAGTTGACGTCGTTGTAAAAAGTTAATCAGAAAAATCGCTGCATGCAGGAGAAGTTGGATCCAGACATGTTAAATTAAGTTAGTCTTATGCGAAATAAAGGCCAGACGTGTACCTAGATGTCCGTCGTTTCGAAAGATTTAAAATGTCTTACAAATTTACTATCTGCATGACATTTTGATCAATTGGATCACCTCAAGCATGAAGGTAGGATGCCTTGAGTAACCTGAGATCGTTCTCACATATTGTGCATACTTGCCTGAACCTATGACGACGTTTCGGGTTAACGCGAGGAACAAAACCGAATATGTACGCTTGTGTTTTTATGCAAGCATCCCAATTTATACTCGGCAATTTAGAACGCTGATCCGTGCAAACCACCTACAAAACAGGTACAATTTCTTCTGCAGGGTCGAATGTTTACAAACAGCAATCTCTTCACAATTAAGACAATTTGACAACTATTTTACTCACTTTTTCATTATGGCGTAAATGAAAATTCTTTTGGGTACGCACACAATACGCTTATTAAGGAGGACGCCCTCAACGATGGTCTCCGCCGCTTCCTCGGGTGATGTTATGCTCGCCGTCCTTAGTTCATGTTCAAAGAGAGAAAAACACATAGTAAGGCTACGTCCAAAAGTTATAGTCGCGGCTGGAGATAATGCATGCACACTTATACGGCTACGCCCACTTCCTACAGATATTACGTCATCACTTCCGGTATCTTGTCTGTACGGCTTAAAAACAAACAAAAAACTTTCCGAGAAAAGCAGAACTGAGGCATGTACGTCATGCCCTGAGCTGGAAACACATACCCACCCTACCCCACCCTCGAAAAATGATGCAAATATTTTGTTTTTAAATAATAAGAGAAAGAAGATTTCAGTTTATATTATTCCATCCGGTTGGGCGTTGATGATAAACAAGGAATTAATTTTAATACGGGCGATTCACAATAGTGCACTTCCAAGAGTTTGCAACGCGTTGAATTGACCAATCACAGTGCGCGAAATCTGTTGACCCAATGCGCGTTTGGAAAGGGTCGGCAGATTTCGCGCACTGGCATTAGTCAACGCGTTGCAAACTCTTGGAGGCGCACTATAGAGCCTGAAAGTAAAAGGTCTGCCTATGGGGATTTTACATTGGGCCGTCCTGTCATGTTCAATAATTTTTGGAAAAATAATTCCTTACTGAAACCACCTCATGAAACACTCATGTTGGAATTTTACCTTTGTCTTCCTCAAGTAATACTTTGGAAAAGTCACCTTGGGTAGAGAACGAATTTTATTAACGACCTTTTACGACCGACGATATCATACCTAGGTCTCCTTATTCATGTACGTTTGTTTTCATTCGCCGTGCTTTCTTGAAAACGAGATTGTATAACCTTGCAAAGATTTACCTACCTGCAGTCGATGGGTTCCAGATTCCGTTGAGTTGCTATCACGCAGTTGTTGTCAGCAAAGGTTAGATAAAATATTAGAATCTTTCGTAAAAGTAGAATATTGCTTTATGTTTATTATCTTATAAATTATCAAACTGTGCAAAATATGTTGATCTGTTTTTATTTCGGTTTTTACCCACAGACTACCATAAAATTTCAAACCGTAAAATTTCATCTGCGTACGATACTGCCGTATTGCACTGTTCTTCATGTATTTTAGATTTTCGGAAATGATGGGTCAATTTTTGGCAGGATATTTATCTTTTAGGTCAGGTAATTTTTCAGTTTCTATATATTGATATACTTGCAAATATTTTTCAAAGCCCCTTTTTCAAGTTGGAGTTTTTAAGAAGAAACTGAAAAATATTATAAATTCTAAAACCTTTGCACGTTATTTTTTTTCCTATCCAAGGGTTCCGGAAGCGCGCCATCAGGGGTCAACTTTCAGGCTCTACTGTGAATCGCCCATATTGACCTATTAACCAACGCGTTGGTTCACAAAATGACATGTCGCTAAAGCTCTAACAATTTAGTGTCGACATCAGCAAGTCCTTACATTGTGAACAGGTCAAAGGCGTAAACAAGAGCCAAAATTAAAAAGGCGATTTTTGGTCTATTTCATTTGCCTTTCAAAGTCGCAGAAAGTACGCTCACTTTCCAGAAAGTATATGTAACATGAAAAAAAAAATCCACAATTTTGATGTCCCCGACAAAAATTTGGTTCTGGATCTACTCTTTGGGTTATGCAGATTAATTTGGGTTCCTGTGCTGCCTTTGAACTTCAATGAAAACTCGGTGGGTTCACTTGTGGTAACTGCAAAAGAGGAGTACTATGGTGACCCTGGAGGGACATCGCCAATCATCAATATTGACGTCAATATTGCGACCACATTTACGACTCATTCTCTGGTCGCAAATACTGCCCTCAATATTCGTGACTGAATTGAAGAGCAAGTCATGAAATTCAGTCGCAAATATTGACAGCAATATTTGCGATCGAAGGGTGGGCCGTAAATTTCTTGCAATTTATTGAAGTCAATATTGACGATTGGCGATGTCCCTCCGGGGCCACCGTAGAGTACTTAATCTTTCCAGTGTACGAAAATAAAAAATGGAGAACATGATAAAGAACCAAAACTTACCCATAATTAATCCGACCCAGTATCATGTTAGTGGCAACCAAGGCCGGACAGACTAGGGTCATCTTTATGCCGCTTTTTTCTTCAAATGCCAGGTCCACCTGGATAGCGTCATGAATTCCTACTGCCGCACAGACACTGGCCGTGTAGGCACCCATGTGGCGGATGGGAACGTAGGCAGCTGTACCAGCAATGGTCACAATATGGCCGTGGTTAGCTTCCTTCATGGCGGGCAGAAAGGTCTTGAGAAGCTGCAGAGCATTGGTGGCCATTCACAGTGTATCGGAACAGACATGGACCGGTATATAATAAAGTAAAGAACAAGATATGGTATGCAAGGCGAAACAGCCAATAAGGACGGAACAATTTTCAAAGGGGGTGGGGGTAAGTTGTTTGACCATCAGGCATCAGCCATTAATAGACCGATCCATTAAGCTCCCCTATAACAATACATGCAAAAAGGCAACAGTACGCGTGATACGGTTGGGGGGGTGGTCACAGTACTCAGCAGCAGCAAACCATGAAACATTAATCCTGGAAAGGGTCTGTCGCGGAACATTTCAGTCGAATTGCTGATTTTTATTCCCCTTTCCTCTTTTGTTTGCTTGAACTCTGGCTTACCCCCCCCCCTTTTTCAGGTGGGCCCCATGCAGGGGCGTAGCGATCGGGGGTTGTGGCACCCCGAATAATTACTTCCAGTAGGCAAATCGAGCTTCGGTCGGCAAATGAATCCAAACATTAGTACATAAACGATGTACGTCGAAACATGAAATGCAGCGTACCACGGGTGGCGAACTAGTTACAACTGTCGGCAAATTTACTCTGGTATTCCCTCACCCCAAGAAAATGCCTTCGCTACACCACTGGCCCCATGCCCCCTTCCACCCGATGGTGTCGACGCATAGCGCCTCTTTTTTTCTAACAAGGGCAGTAGAAATGAGGGTTGGAACGTGCCTCAAGCGACGTCCTCTGGTTAGTGGCTAGGAAAATACGATCGGAAAAGTAGAGGGACGCATTACATTCAGACTGAAACTGAAGTAATTCGATTTCCAAGTTTGTAGATCCAGGGACTGGGCACTGCCAGCGGTATATCCAGCAGCACAGTAGAAAGTTACCCCCCCCCACACACACACACACACAAGGCTTCAGATTTTTTTTTTTACGGCGGCAGCATTTTAGAAGTGGTACTACCACCTTTCTTTGGAGGATACCAGGGTTCCTTTTTGGATAAAAAAAACCGGACGGTTATTTAATTTCTTACAGAAATCCAATGTACCCCTGATACGGTCTTTGGACCCAAGACCTCGATGCGCCATTGGGCACAGCTGTCTTTCACAGGTAAGGCGCTTCTCAATGATTGGTTTACTATTTTGTGGGGACGCAAACTTAATTACTGGTCCGCCCCATACCATGCATGGGTACATGATTTCCAAAGGGTAGGATAGATTTTTATTCCGGTACGCTACCAATAATAAGTAACATTTCCTTATATATTACATTCACAAAGCCACCCTGATACCTTTCTGGACTGAGCTGCATTCGATATTCTTACCCAAAAGTGTGAGATCGCATTAACGTCCACCATTTTCTGAATGAGACGATCAGAGCACTCCAAGACCGGTTTGTAATGTGCTATTCCCGCGTTGTTGACTAGCATCGTCACATTGCCGACCTCTTGTCGAACTCTTTCGGCCGCAGCATACACTTGGTCGGCCTTGCTGACATCCACCGTGTAGGCGTACACGTCTCCTGCGTTTGACTCTCGTATAATACGCGCTGTCTCCTCGTTACCGTGCTGGTTGACATCCCATATCACCACAGTAGCCCCACGCTTCGACAACTCAACAGCCATCAGGCGTCCTAGGCCGGCCCCACCACCCGTTACCAAAGCGATCTCGCCCGTTACATCTTTTGGACTTCGAAAGAACGAAGGCACGAAAAGATCAAAGCACGTTTTGAAGAAAGATTCGATGAAATACCAGATAGAAAGGAAAAAGACCTGGAATCCTTCAGCCGACATTTTGGTCCGCAGACCTTGCTATTACGCGGCAACTTGGCCTGTAGGTTTTTTCTTTCGACCTTCAATCTCTATTCCTTTATTAACCAAGACGCACAAAAACGCGGCGGATTCGACGGGTGTCTGTTTACTCAAGGGCATCTTGTCTTTCATAAAGTACTTAAAATATTGACCCATTCAAATCACAAAGATACAGACGTCGGCATCTGTGTATCAAAGTTCACACCCACACACTATTACACATTCCGACTATGTGCAGAAAATGCACTGTAAACTTTACCCGAAATAAACACAAGTTGCATTGCATTACGACATATTTTCATTGACGGGCATTTATTACTTTAGTTGTGGCGTGTTTTTAAGGTATCCACACTGATAATGCTATAACCATACCTCTATATCAAGTAAGGGTCTTTCACGATTCAACATTTAAGATAGGAAGGAAATTACACATGAATATTGGACACGTGTGTTCAAGTCTCCAACCACTGTTATGAAATTTAGCCTTACAGTTTTGTGAAAAAATTTCCTGGCACCTCACAAAAAACTTCCATAGATATCTGCAATAAATCCTCAATAAAAAGTTACACACAAACTAAAGGTTCAACTTCCTTTCTTTGTGGGTTATCTGATGACTTTGACCTGATATTCCTTACTAGTATTTCGGGGAAAATTATCCCTCAGTCGATTGCAACTGTAAATACAGTAATTTATGAGTTCATCTCAGCTTACGCTAAAACAGAAAACTTGCAGAACAGTTGAGATTTTTCAATTCCTTGTTTACAACTTCTCCGACGTAAAACCTCTTAAAATTCCCCCTCTTATTATAAGATGCAAACACAATGTGATCAGGCCCAAGTAGGAAATTTCAAATCCATGTATGCTACTCCAAGGTATGCAGTAATTCAATAATGTGAAAGTAACTAGTTACGTAAAAAGTGTGAAGACGCACACACGAATTACGTTAACTAAAGCTTAAAATATGATTTTCACAAACGTACATGTAAGGGTCCCTTCCCTTGATAGTGAACACAAGCAAAGCCTCTTCACTACATGCTGAAAAAACACAACGTCCTATGAACAACTACTATTAAAATATTCCACAAGTAACCACAGTGCAATTCTACAACATTACTACCTACAAACATAAAGTACACAAACCAAACCAGATTTGCAATTTGCAAGTCCTTGATATCTGAGCTTTGCCTCTGTGACTCTTATCTAATGTAACTTAAGCCAATCCCCCCCCCCATCGGCCCCTAATGTAACTTAAGCCAATCCCCCCCCATCGGCCCCTAATGTAACTTAAGCCAATCCCCCCAATCTGCCCCTAA